AGAACAGAAATGAAAGCAGCAATTTTTTAAAACAAGAACATGCTTCCAGCTGCCAGAATACATACCAAATCAGATATGAAAGCCAGAACAATATTAATTAAGATAATTGCAAGCTTGGCAGCAAACATTACAGGAGTGAAACTCACATAAGAAAATGAAAATCAATGTAAATACAAGAGATAAATGACATATTCAAACAATTATCATATAAAAAGTAAGTGGAAAAAATATCTTTCAATATAGAAATAATAAATGAGTGTAGTTAATTATATTGAAGCATATAGAAGTGCCAATAATTATCAATATAGAAATAATAAATTAGTGTAGTTAATTACATTGAAGCATGTAGAAGTGCCAATAATTATGATTCTAAGGGAATAACAATTACCAGTAATAAAAAGTACAGCCATTGTAAAATAAATTTACATAATGACAATAATTAACCAATTTCTAAACAATAAAAAACAGAATGGACAGTTTTAACACACCCCTTAGCACCATCTATTTACTAATGCTATATATGCACCAAAAAATAAAGCATCTCTCTCTTTAATGCCTAAAAAGGTTTGAAATAACCCACAGTTTGTTGAACTAATACCCTAATGCTAATTGATGTAGCCTGGAACAGTCCCCAGTCTCTGAATGTCAGCTCTAGCATTGGTGCTAGAATATACAGGCGCTATCAGGCAAGAGATCATTCTGCCACTGCACCTTAAAAAGGTTTATAAAAAACTCACATTTGTTTGGCTAATGCCCTATTGGTAATCCATGTAGCCAGGAACAGTCCCCGGGTTCTCACAGTGCTTTTTGCAGCAGCTGGCAGCTAACAGTTCCAGCTAACAGAGAAAGTGAGAGAAAACCCAGGTTTAGGTGGAATGAAATAAGACACATAAAATGTAGGAAAGGAGTTGGGGGGGAGGGAGAAAAATGTAAAATAAAAGATGCATCATAAACAAATGCAACTGTAGTTATTAAGGGAGAAAAGTCCTATTAACAATAAATTTAATTTAAGAGAAAGGGTCATGACTAAAGAGGAAATAGTAGCTTTGCAAAAGCGATTGAAATGAGCTCAAACCAAGAAATGATATAAGGTTGAAGTCTTCGTAAGGATCCAAATGTTTACTTGCAACCTAACCCTGAAAAAATGCTACGAAAAAAAATCTTGTTATTGTTAATGATGGGAGAGTGAAAGAGGTAAATATACAAGTTTGCAACCGAAGACCAATGTAAATCCCATAGAAATTAATAGAGAATGTGTCATTTGTTTGAAAGCCCTCTTGGAGGAATTGTATGAACTAGAGGTGGGAACATCAAGATAATAGAACTTAACTAGGAAGGTCTGGGAGGCATTAGAAAATAAAGATAACTGTACAGCAATCAGCCCTGCAGATAACGTAGATAGGGTAGTAATAACAGATAATATGAAATAGGAGAAGGAAATAAAGAGATAATTAGCAGATAAAGAAAATTATTCATTTGAGAAGTGCCCCAGAATTACAGAATAAAAAGAAAGCGTCGAAGATCTTGTAAAACAATATGCCAAGGGAATCATTAGTGAAAAAAGTAGGAGTAGATGGATACTATAATACTCTAGTCATACAGTATATGTACTTCCAAAAATCCACAAAAGTTGAATTAATCCCCTGTGAAGTTTCAGGTGTTGATTCACATACACCTAGGCTCTCTGAATATATTGATATATACCTTTTTGTACAAAGACTTCTTCATAGTTGAAAGATACAAAAGACTTGCTTGCATGTTTAAATCAGTTTAAATGGGAGGAGGGATGATGTATAGCAACATGTGATATCAAATTGTTATAGGTCATCATCATGAAACATGATAGGGGTGTTGAGGCAGTGAAAAGACACAGATAAAGCCAAATCCATATTTTAGTGAAAGCCATTAGGCTAGCTTTATAAAATAAAACATTTTGGTTCAAGGGTGCCCACTATATGCAAATAAGTAGATCAGCACTGGGCTGCAAATATTTTTATGGGAGTATAGGAAGATACTTTTAATAATAAAAGGATATGTCCTGAATTCATTTTATAGAAAATAAATATAGACGCTTACTTGTTTGTATGGGGAGGAACAGAAAACAGTCTACAGGAATTTAGCATAGAGTTAAGTTGGCCATAGGGAACCATTGTGTTCTTCTGGCGTGGGTGTGAGATGGGGAAACAGCTCTCATTGTTTGAACACTGTTTGTGTGGAGTAAATTAAATGTTTTGACTGACATTCTGCGGTTTAGCCACAAGATGTCACTGTTTTTCTAACACAGCCTCAGACTGCATAGATATTTCTATATTCATGAAGAGGTGGGGGTTTTCACACAGAGTTTAGAGAGAACAAGAAGAAGAGAGAGAAGCCATGTTTAGAGGATGGTGACTGAAGGAGCCATGTGAGCAGAGAATCTGATGGCATCCAGGTGTGAGAACATCCCTCAGTAACCAGAGCTGCAGTGAAGTGAAGCTGAACGTGTTCAGAGAAAGGACGATTGCTGCCAGGAATGCTGATGAGAGCACAGGAACTAAGCAGCATATACTGTGAAACCGCATGCTTGTTGGAGAGACATTTCTTATATTCAGAGTCACCAGCGGATGCAAAGCAGACCCGGGTCAGTAAGATCGTGCACGCACCTCATTTCAGTGTTGGCGCCTTGAGATTGAGTCCAGGCCTATAGTTAGTTAGTTAGGGTCTCTGTTTGCGTCAGGCCACAAGTGTTGTTATTGATTTTTGTAAGGACTCCACAACTTAAAGTGACATTTCACATTGGAGAGCTGATAAAATCCCACAAACTCAAGCCAGACTGGCATTTTGCTCAGAAGGAATACTCAGGCATGTGCTACAGGACCAGTTATGGGAGGGGGAATACTGTAGATTTGTGTAAGATTGTAAGCTGTTGTGCTGCACCGCAGGCTAGCCCATACCATACACCCATACACTGATTCTTGCTCTTTTAGGGTAATAACAGGTAAGGTGTGGCAGCTTAGTTGTGCCCGCCAGTAGGTAAATTACTACACTTTCTACCTTCATCCATCAGAAGGTGCCGTGCTCTGCAACACAAGGGTCTCAGCCTTTGGGCTGGGTGTATGTAAATTTATTATGTTTCCAGAATTTGTGGTTGTGTTTATTTGCCACATCTAAGTAAAATTCTGTTGTAGCAAAAGCTGGTGTTGGGGTTGCCTTCCTCGTTCGTGACTTCACTTTATCCTGGGGAGCCCACCCTGGTACACGGCTTACATGGGGGGCAGCGGTAGCTTTCCCTGGTGGGAGAACACAGTGATTACTGCTAGAGGCTATAATAGCCACTAGCAATAATCACATATAAAATCCAACAGGCTGGTTGTACCCAAGTTGATCAATCAATCAACTTGGGTACATTCAGCCTGCCCATACATGGTTCAAATCTTGGCCGGTTTCAGCAGGATTTGAATCGTCTATGGCCAGCTTTAGATAATCCTGATTCGAATTTAGAGTTCACCATGACTTATAGTAAGAGAGGGGTTAATTTTCTGTATTTAGCGGTGAAGGTTGTGGATGGTTGAAGCAGGATCTAAAACTACTAGAAATATACTGATCGTAACAGTTTTCCACAAGTGAATAGTTGCCATCATTGCAGTGGATAGAGGGTATTCCCAAAGAATAATACAGGCATAACTGTTATGATAGGGAACCGTACTATAAAATATAAAAAATACTGCCTTTTAGTGAGGAAGGGTCCCCTGTTATGAAATGTTGTACCCCCTTAACTATTGATATTGTTATAGTGGGTCTCCACCATGAGAGATTGGTTGGTAAAAAGTAGCGGTGCACCGAAATTAACATTCTGGTGCCGAAACTGATACCGAAAATTCAGAATGCACGTGGCCGAAAACCGAACCGAAACCAAAATGTCTGCATATGTGGGGATGGGGAGGCTCCAATTTTTTTTACAATCTTTTTCTACTTTAATGTGTATATATATATAAATATATATATATATTTTTTGTTTAAACTTATGATTTTATTGTTTTTACATAGTGGACTGATAGTCCCCTATGTAATAGCATATAAGTGACAGGTCCTCTTTGTAGGGGGGAGGGGGTGGGGGGGGGCAGTGTGTGCAAGGAGGGGGCAGGAGAGGAGCAGTATACAAAGAGGTTCCCTTACTGGCTGTCACTATTGGGTTAATTTACTAAAACTGGAGAGTGCAAAGTCTGGTGCAGCTCTGCATAGAAACAATTCAGCTTCCAGGTTTTATTGTCAAAGCTTAATTGAACAAGCTGAGGTTAGAAGCTGATTGGTTGCCATGCACCAGATTTTGCACTCTCCCGTTTTAGTAAATCAACCCCTATATGTCAGTGGCCGTATTTAACTGTAATTTCTGGCCAATCACTGTATATACTGCTACACTCCTTCCTTTCTCCACTGCCACCCCCCCTCACATCTGCAGTACACACAGTCCCCTGTATCGACACCTATATCAGCAAAATTTTTCCTATTGGCCGATAGGACTATTTTCGGCCGATATGTTTCGGCGCCCGAAATTTCAGTGCATCCCTAGAAAAAAGTAATATATGATGAGAAAAAAACTTCCTTACAGATCTTCCCTACTGGTGACAAGGAATTAAGATATAGCTAGATCTGGTATGCCTGCTTGTCAGGACTTGGATCACTTGCTGGGTTCTAAGAGCTGAAGGGTTTAGTTTAGGTATCAATCATTGGGTGTCTCCCAGTATCAAGCAGATCCTAGGGGTAATGAATAAATGCTGTTTTTAGCATGAAACACATTTACCTGCCAGTCCCCCACTGTATTTCCACTATCTCTATTGGTTTTATCTCGGTTCAATAAAGTGGATTGTTTGGAGTGCAGCCAATTGGATTTCCTTTGTTCTTATCTATTCAGCACACAAACTGGGCTAGCACCTACAGGAGGAGTTGTGCTTGGAGACTGGCAGTCTCTCTTCCTTGAGCAGTGGTAAACATATATCAAGCAGATCTAGGTAATTAGTCTCCACATGACACTGTCTACTGGGAAGGTATCAGGGGCGGACTGACCATTTGGAAACTGGGGCACTGTCCGAGGGCCCGGGGTCAGTAGGGGGCCCCATGAGATGCCCCTGGTACCTTTTTCATAGGCTTTCTTGAGTTTGGGCAAGGACACAGGGGCCCCATGATCCCCTATTGCCCGGGGGCCCATGAGTTGTCAGTCTGCCCATGGAAGGTATATATGCTCCTCTAGCTTCCCTCAGGGCCTCAGTGTTTTTCCTGTGTGTTATGTACCAGGTTATTTATGCTCTGCTCCTGACCTTCATCTTGCTCTTGAGCTTGATCCTGATTCCTACTGTAATCCAGTTCCTGTTTCATTCTGTGCCTGCTACCTCATATCTGCTACCCGTGTTCCTGATCCCAGTTGTGGTCCTCTCCCTGGTTGTTCCTAGTCGCAACTTATGTCTTACCCTGCTTATTTGTACTCTCCCCTTCTTTGTATATACTGCAATATACACTGCTCAAAAAAATTAAAGGAACACTTTGAAAACACATCAGATCTCAATGGGGAAAAATATAACGCTGGATATCTATACTGATATGGACTAGGTAGTGTTTTAGGAACGTAAAGATGCCCCATCGTTTGATGGAAATGAAAATTATCAACGTACAGAGAAATGAATTCAAAGACATCCAGAAAATCAAAGTGAAAAAATAATGCAGCAGGCTAGTCTATTTTGCTGAAAATTCATTGCAGCAACTTAAAATGGTACAAAGTAGTTTGTATGGCCCCCACATGCTTGTATGCATGTCTGACAATGTTGTGGCATGCTCCGAACGAGACAACGGATGGTATCCTGGGGTATTTCCTCCAAGATCTGGACCAGGGCATCACTGAGCTCCTGGACAGTCTGAGGTACAACCTGGTGGCGTTGCATGAACTGAAACACAATATTCCAGAGGTGTTCTACTGGGTATATGTCAGGAGAGCGTGGGGGCCATTCTATGGTATTAATTCCTTCATCCTCCAGAAACTGCCTGTATACTCTCGTCACATGCCTGCATTGTCATGCACCAGGAGGAACTGAGGACCCACTGCACCAGTGTAGGGTCTGACAATGGGTCCAAGGATTTCATCTTGATACCTAATGGCAGTCAGGGTGCCATTGTCTAGCCTGTATAAGTCTGTGCATCCCTCCGTGGATATACCTCCCTAGACCATCACTGACGCACCACCAAAACGGTCATGCTGTGTATATTGCAGTATGCAGGCAGCATAATGTTCACCGTGGCTTCTCCAGACCCTTTCACATCTGTGGAATCTCCTCCATGCTCTTGAGACTGTCCTGGGAGACACAGCAAATCTTCTCGCAATGGCACGTATTGATGTGCCATCCTGGAGGAGTTGGACTGCCTGTACAATCCAGATATCGCCTCATGCTACCAGAAGTGACACTGACCCAAGCCAAATGCAAAACTAGTGAAAAACAGTCAGAAAACATGAGTAGGGAAAAAAATGTCAAATGCCTCCACCTGTAAAACCATTCCTGTTTTGGGGGTTGTCTCATTATTGCCCCTCTACTGCACCTGTTGGTACATTTTATTAACACCAAAGCAGCTGAAACTGATTAACAACCCCCTCTATTACTTAACTGACCCGATCAATATCTCAGGAGTTTAATTGACTTGATGCTATACTCTGATTAAAAAGTGTTCCTTTAATTTTTTTGACTAGTGTGGTTAAGTTGCTAGTTAGGTATTCTTTTACGAGGTTCACTGTGGGTGTATATTTTCACTTATCTTAAATTCTGTTTGCTGGGGTTTTGTGGGGTGGGGAAGGGGTGTTGCTTCATTTTTAATCAATCCTAATTTATTCATACGCAGCCTGATTTCAGTTTCTTTAAGTGAAGCTACACCCATCTGCTCACCCCTGATGTAGCTGGATACCAGCACTCGGAACCCTAACACTGCTGGCACACTGATAATAATAGGAAAAAGTTTCAGATATTTAGAACTAACAACATGGGGAAGGTATTTGGTTTTAAAGACTGTATAACCTGTGGCACTACTAATGTGGTCAATCTCCTCAAATATGGATGTGGTAAAGAGTATGTGGGCTAAGCAGACTATAGCTAAATAAGATGAGGAACATGTGAGAAATATAGAAAAGGGGAAAAACGTTTAGCTGCCAACACAATTGTGCTCCCAATAGAATGCCAACAGAAGCCTTAAAACAGTTGTAAAGGCAATAATTTTTTATTAACATGTTATACTTTCCTTATACCTACGTTCTCTGTGCAATAGTATTGCACAGAGAGATCATTGTTGTCCTCTTCTGGGGTCCCGCACCAGCACTGCCCGCTCCTCCTCCTCTGCGTGTGCCCCCATAGCACGTTGTGTGCTTTGGAGGCACATTTGCGGGCATGCTCTCTAGCTGGTCTGTGTGTGTCTATAGGGACACACTGTGTGGCTCTGACCCGCCCCTGCCCCTTACTCCCTCCTCACAGGATTTGAATGATAGCAGCAGGAGCCAATGGCTTCCACTGCTCCCAGAGCTTCTTGTAAGAGCAGGGAGGAGAGAAATCAGATGTAGGTGGACACAGTGCTGGGTAGATACATCACTCAGGTAAGTGTTTGGGGGGGGGGTACAGCAAGTAGTAAAATATTTTTACCTCATTACAGGGAATGCTTTAAGGTAACAAAAAAATCCAAAAAACTTTTTAAATTTAGAACCACTTTAAACCAAAAGGGAGCATTGTGGACATTTAGATTAGGGACATTTGCCACTGAGGTTGATGAGGTTTAATGAATTGTTTTTTAAATAATACATTTTTTTACAGGTACTGGAAATAAAACAAAGGACCCTAGAGTTGTATGGTAAGAGTGCAGGACACTGAGTGATTTTGCTGTGATCACACTGGGCTGAGCTTGGGAACCATCTTGGATTCCTATTCATTGGCTTGTACTCAGAGCTGGTTCCTGTTAAGCAGCTGTTATTTTGAAGAAACAGTCTGTAAATTAATTTTTTTTTTTCATTATACTAATAAATGTTATGGTTTTAAACTATGGAGATTTTCTCTGCTTCTATCCTATGAGTGCTTCAATTAGAAAAACTCTCTAATATGCTATTTGTCCTGTGTGCCCCCTGTGAAGGTGAGGGCACATGCACTTGTGCACTATGGTGGTGTTTTTTTTGCATATTGGATGGAGTAAAGGGTCAGGGTGAAGATTTTGCACTAAATGCTTTGAACATATACTCAGTTGAAACTATTTTCTGGATTTTTTCACAGATAACTATATCTTTTTTGGACATTTAATACTATTTTTTATATGTGTGCCACTTGTTTGAACACTTATTTGCACTATTTGAAGTATTGTATGTGAACATGCATTATGCACATGTGTGATTTTTGTTCCAGGCTCCATGCACACTAGCGTTACAACTAGAAGCTAGACTAGTAGCCAGGGACGGACTGACCATTTGGAAACTCGGGTACTGCCCGAGGGCCCGGGGTCAGTGGGGGGCCCCATGAGATGCCCCTGGTACCTTTTTCATAGGCTTTTTTTTAGTTTGGGCAAGGACACATGGGCCCCATAATCCCCTATTGCCCAGGGGCCCCATGAGTTGTCAGTCCGCCCTCGCTAGTAGCCATTATCAGTATATTTTTGTTCTGCTCATAGAAGTTAAATAGTGTTACAATATGTGTCCATGTACACTTTAGACTATTAGCATTTTTTGAGCTTTAGTGTCTAGGAGCAGAAAAAAATTGTTTTTGTAGAGTTCCAGCAGAAAAATCACTACACGCTCCTAAATGCTCCGAAACACTACTAAAACACTGCTAAACGCTACTAAAATGCTCCTAACAGCTTTTTTTTCCCTCTGTATGTACTGCAAAAACACTAATAAAATGCTAACACTCCAAAATACTGATAAAGGCTCCTAAATACTTTTAAACTCTACTAAAAATGCTATTACCAGTGTTTTTTATCCAGCATTTTTGCCAGCATTTTTTGGGCTTAATAACAAATGCTAGTGTGCATGGAGTCTTATCAATCATGCATTTTTTGATAATTTTTTTTATGATTTATTGAATACGTTTATGTGGTGATATATTTATATATATCTGCTTGGTGCTTTGTATATACAGTATAACCATTACACATTGGTTGTCTTATCTCCTGTGTATTTATATTTTGGGAGCGCTTCACTATGTTTCTTCTTTTTAGTATTATTTTGAGTGTGTGATAATTGACTATTTTAGGGTAGCTGCTCCAAGTTAATGCATATTTTCTCTGTGTAGCTTTGTTTTTTTTTTTCACTTTCACACTTGGGTGGGCTATATCAAGGTGTGTTAGTAGTGCAAGGATTTTCATTTTGTAATAATTTTTTAATGAGCGTATTCGAACCAATTAGCATTTTTTTGCACTTAAGGACCACTCGCAATGTACTGAGGACACACGTGACCACTGTAGGAAAAGTCAAGTACCCATACATTGCCTACTTCCGGGTTTTGGGCACATGCATACACACACCAGGCCAGCACTCGGTGTGATTGTACACAGCAGGAGCCTATCAGCATGTCCTGGCCAATGATTTATGGCTGGGACCTGCTGATCGTCTGTGTATAATCATAGCCCAGAGCTCTGTGTTGACATTTAACACAGAGCTTTGTACAGGGGGAATGACCTTTGTGTTTAGAGGTTAAACTTAGAGATCTGTTAGTAAAAGCAGCACACTTTACACACAATACACATAGTTAGGCACACATTTAACCGCTAGATCGCCCTAGAGGTTAACCCTTCTCAGCCAGTGTCATTAGTACAGTGACAGTATATAATGTCATTGATCACTGTAATAATGTCACTTATGATATCAGTGGCAGGTAGTCAGTTCTTCCCAGCGTCAGTTAGTGTCAGATTGCATGACGCACTATCATAGTCCCATTATAAGTCACTGCCCACTGCCATTAGTAATATAAAAAAAAAAAATAAATAAAGTTTGTAGGCACTATAACTTTAACACAAAACAATCAATATACACTTATTGAGGTTTTTTGTTATCAAAGACGTAGCAGATTACACTTTGGCCAAAATGTATGAAGAAATTATATTTTTTTACATTTTTTATTAGATATGTTTTATAGCAGAAAGTAAAAACATTGTTTTTGTTTTCATTTCATATCGCAAAAAATAAAAAATCCAGTGCTGATCAAATACCACCAAAAGAAAGCTCTATTTGTGTGGAAAACAATTATATAAATTTAGTTTGAGTACAGCATTTCATGACCGTGCAATTACCAGTTAAAGTAGCGTAGTGCTAAATAGCAAAAAACGGCCTAGTCACGAAGGGGATAAAACCTTCCGGAGCTCAAGTAGTTATGCATGGATATCTATATATAATTCTCTGTGTATAACTGTAAAGGTGTTAGCGGCCATATAATGTATTTTTATATGGATTTTAAAAGTTTTGTTACATTTGGGATAAAGTACAAGGAATAATGGCCATTTTTGCTGGGGAAGGAAGGGTTAATGAATGAAACCAAACAATGGATATGGTTTTATTGAATTAATTGCCAGGTGGCTAACCCCTTGATGAAGAAGCTTTCACCTTTTGGGTTAAAGGAGTTGTCCAGTGTTGTTATTAGACAGTGGAGACAACTAACCCGTTGATAACCTTGGATGGGAACTGCCCCCGAGTAATGGCTCAACAGCGGGGACTTATGGCTGTGTTTGAGTAACCTGCTTTCCTGTGATTGCAACCATTTGTGGATTAATACATTTCTCCTTATACTGCACAAGTAAATGTTTTCTCTGCTTCTATTTTTATTAGCAAGTGTGGTAGAGCTATTCCCCAGGTATTTTGTAGTTATCTTCCAGGACTGATGATTGGGTCTGAAAGCAAGGTGTGCATAAAGGAAGAGAAGGTGGATGATGTCTGATATGCAGAGTGAAACTGGGATTTGGATAGAAAACCAGCATGTGGAGCTGGAATTATGAGCTGCTTGCTGCCGGAGAAAGATTTGTGAAGAGATTGAGGACTATTGCTGGCTACATGGATTACCAGAAGGGCACTAGCCCAACAAATGTGAGTTTTTGTAAGGTGCAGTGACAGATTGACCTCTTGCCTGACTGTGCCTGTATAATTCTAGTACCAATGTCTTTTTGTCTTTTAGAAGAGCCAGCAGAACATCTGCTCTAGAGTAAGCAACAATGATTGTTGTTCTAAAGTATGGCAACATTTTGCTTGCTTTTGGAATGCAGATTGGTTAGATTTTGGAATGCAAACCAAATAAAGTGTAAGACATTGAAGTGTTCAAAAAAATTTTTTCCAGTCTGTTCCTTTGGATTTTCTGGCACTGTGGTCAAAAAAAAATGTCAATTTGATAACAATTATTTGAACTAGCCTGATAGAAAAATGTCACATGAAATTCTCCTAGTGCATGGCCAACTTAAGGAGGCAGTACAAATTAGATTGTCAACATTTCTTGACTGGCCATTATTTATATTTATAAATATAAACACATCTTATCTTATATATATAACAGGGGTTGAGAACACCCAGTAGGAGGGTCGAAATGCGTCGACGCACTTCCGGTCTGCCATCTGAACGTCTTGCGCAACTTCCAGTGAGTGGAACACACGCCGAGTGGTGCGTTGCAAGTGGCCATTTTGGGATCTGGTTGATATACTTATTTTGTTTGGCCAGTGGAGGCTAATAAATAAGGCTTTTATGGAACTTGTTAATTGTGAGTGGCCTGATATTATTAACTAATGTTATGTGGGCATTAGTAATATTACACTATATACTGTACAATTTTTTCCTTTGCACAACTGTGGAGCTGGAAGGCTGTATCAGGAAGTGAGTGGAAGGATCATCCAAGCTCTGTATGGTGGAATGGAGGTCTGGAGGCTGTAGAGGAGGTGTAGGATCCCTAAAAGTCCTAAAAAGCCTACTATTCACCAACATCTGGTGAGTGCGGTTCATGTTGGTTACAGTGCTGGTGGATGGTGGAAGCACATATTATAGGAGGAGAAACATTTTTTGTCGAAGCACTGTGGAATGTGGGAAAAAGGACTTTATATTTTTATAAAAGAATTTTTGGACACATTAAGTTTTTTTGGACACTAATAATTTTATTTTAATAATCTAAAATTTATTATTGTGTAATTATTTTGTTTTGGGTATTGTTTTGCACTGTTTATTTTTGTTTATATTTATTGGTGTTTTGCACTAGTGCACGGCAGCAGTTCATGCCTTTGTTTGGGGGTTATTCTGTGGCGCAGGTGTTTGAATTTATAATTCATTATTTATATTTGTTTCGAGTTGGTATAACCATACAGGTTATGGTGAGAAGAGAGAAGGAATCGAAAAGCCCTCCAACCAAATAAGTGCATAGCAAAATAAAGAGATCTTTAAGACCTTTAGCCTCATCATAACCTTTATGGTTACACTGTCTTGTTGGGTCCCAATTCTAACTCCATAGAAACCATGATTTACATGTACTGCACTGATGATGGTCAAAAAGTCTAAAAGAGCTGTGTGGCTCTGCCCACTTTCCTAAAATGAGAAATAATCCTTTTACATTCGGGATATGTCATGGAATGAGACATGTAAATACCTGTTTTAGGGAGAAGGGGGGGGGGTGCCAATTATACTAGGTATGCCATATTACATCTACATTTATTTGAGGTACTGTGAGCTGTAGATAAAATCATTTTTGTAGGGGTTCCTTGAAAACTGAAAATTATTTCAAGGATTCCCCTGTAGTAAAAACGTTTAGAATCACTGTGATACAGGATATAGTAATAGTATTGAGGTAAGTGGGAGAAACCAGTGAGGGATGTAAAGACTGATACTCCCAGAATTGTTGGTTTCCCAGTGGACTTTGGAGAACCATTTCTCAGGATCAGAGCATCATTAGGCAGTGTTAAAAGCAGGATAAGTGTTAAAAGCAGGATAGGTGAGGTACTGTATTTAGCTTCATCTTCTACAAGTATGCCATTTGTAGGAAATTTGAATATAGCAACAGGTTAATTTTAAAGCATTAACAGGCATTGATAAGTTTCTTTAGTCAAAATTAGATTTTTCATGTGTGTCTAAAAATATTTTAAAGACTGTTATTTTCCTTAAAATTAGAAACCAATTAGGCAGGTCTTCTTTAGAAAACAAAAAGGGTCTGCGTGCGTGCCATGGAATTTTGTATTGTGTTGCAGCGTGATTTTTAGAAGAAAACATTCAGAAATAATGAGCTAAACAGTGTTCAAACCACAGATATTTTTATAACAAGAAATCATTGCCAAATCAGTGTGCATTCTGGAAAGATTTCAAGTGTAAAATGACTTTGCAAGTGAATAAAGCTACACCTTTATTCATCAAGGCTTCAGTAAAAACTAATGGTTTGTTCATTTTAATTAACTCACTGAACTTGGAGTAAAAGCACAGGTCCACTTAGGGAAACCACAAAAACTCAATAATTTGAATGCAATACAATTCCTTTAAACTCCATGGATTATGTGATTGTCCAATTTATTCCAAATATTGCCCTTAAAAATCCCTTGCTATAGTTAACTGTAGCATGAGAGTACTGGATCGTATGCCCTTTTTCATTATTTCTATGTGTT